AATAAATAAATTTGAATATTATTTTATTTTATTTATTTTATTTGAATTTATTTATTTTAATTTTTTAATTATTTTTGTTTGCTTCGAACAATTTCTTCCAAAATAACTTTTTTATTTCTGTAATTTTGTCAAAACAAGTCAAAAAAAAGCCAAATTATTTTAAAATTGACGCTATTTTAGACAGTTTCAAGAAATTTATCAATTCTGAGTGAGAAACCAGACGAAATATTATCAAGCACCTTCAAGATTTTTGGATTTAAATAATGACGCGTACTTCAAAATTATTTTATAAAAATTTCCAAATTTTGTCAATTTTTCTCTATACAAAAAATGTTTAATTTAGTTGATCAATTTAACAAACAAATTCTGAAAATACTAATATCAAACCAAAAAGGTTTTTCATTTATTTACGAAATTTGACACCACACTAATTTTTCCCAAAAATATTTTTTAATCAGTGAATCATTTAGTCCAAAATACTTCCTCGGGAAATTGAAATGAGTTCCCAAATTTTTGATTTCTGCTTTAAACCGAAAACACTTAAAATAAATTACCTAATTGCAATTAGTTTCGGATACCTTCTAAGTTCACCTTCACTAAATGTAATTTTAATTTTTCAAAAAAAAAACTATTTTTTTTTTATATTAATGATTATATTTTTATTTTAAAATAAGGTTCGAACATTGCCATTAAACATATTTATAATACAATATTTGTCAAATGTTCGTCTCTGTCTTCACGTTTAACTTTCGCAATTGAAAAAAAAAACACATGATTACGAGATAATTCTATTCTTTGGTTCAAGTAATTTCAAGTAATTTGGTTCCAAATATTTTTTTTAATTTAGTCAAAACAATTTAAAAAAATAGCCAAATTATTTTAAAATGGACGGTTTAAAATTGAAGGTTGTTTCAAGAAATTTATCTTTTCTGAGTGAGAAACAAGACGAAATATCACCAAATTTTAACGAAATTGGCATTTTTTGAGAGATAATTTTCATAACAATTTTCTCTCTTATTATAGACTATTTTTAAAAACGCCATACCTCATAGCACCTTCAAGATGTATAGATTAAAATAATGTCGCGTATTTCAAAATTACTCTGTAGAAAATTATACATTTTGTCAATTTTTGTGTATACAAAAAACAATGTTTAATTTAATTGCTCAATTTAACAAATTCTGAAAATACTGATTTCAAACTGAAAACGTTTTTCAGTTATTCACCAAATTTGGCACTACTAATTTTTCCCAAAAATCAATTGGCCCAAAAAACTTATCTCAGGAAATCGAAATGAGTTCCCAAATTTTTGACTTCTGCTTTAAACCGAAAACACTTGAAATAAATTATCTAATTTTTTGGTTAATGATTATATTTTTGTTTCAAAATAAACTTTGAACATTCTGATTAAATATTTGTCAAATGTTCGACTCTGCTTTTTTGACAGTTAAGAATTTTTTTTTAGAAATTTTGAACATTTTCACTTAAAGAACAAAAAAGACAAAATGTCTTAATCATTTTGGAAAAGGGTCGGCGTCATCGTCCTTCACGTTTTACTTACGCATTTTTTTTTAAATTACAAATTAATTCTTGGTTTAAGTAATTAAATGAGATTTTAATAATTTTTGTGATACCTTCTTAATGTAATTCAAAGTTATACTGATGATGGCAGTTGATTGCCATAACATGTTTCTACAAGGGTAAATTATAACTTTTTTACAATATTGTGGAAACAATTTTGTTACCTTGAAGGCTTTTTATTCTAAAAAAACGACCATTCTGCAGATTTATCCCAAAACAGAGATGTAGCAGACATAAACTAACAATTAAGAGTTCTTGTTTATATTGTAATGTAAATTTATGTTAATTTCAAATTATTAAAAAATATAGTTTTTACACTTATTTGAGGAAAAAGAATTTTGTACTAGTTACTGTTTTTGCCAAAACATTTTTGTTTATTAATTTTAAACAAAAAAAAATGTTGGTTACTGCGTTTTTGCTTGGGACAAGTCGACTTGTTTAGCCAAATAGTAATTCAATTAGAAATATCTTGTTGTAGAAGGCCATTTTTTCGGATTTTCTTGGACCTTTGTATTCAGTTTTCGCTGCATAACAATGCTTGTCATTGACTGATACCATCGTAATGGTTGGTGCACCTCGTTAATAATCGCAAGCTTCTTTAGTCAGGAAGTAATAAAACGTCCTTAGAAAGACTTAGATTAGCATTACGTAAAGTTTTTTAATAATCCGTTGATTTATTGCGGCTTCATTAGATTGCACACGTGAAACCTTTTTGCAGCTTCACTCCGGCTCTCAATTCAACGGAAGATCTAAACCGGAAGAACGAAAAAAACTACGTCGTTGAGATGAAAGATTTGAAGAAAGCTGAAGAAGCGACCGGCGAATATGAGCCTTATCTGCACCGAGATGTCGAACATCCGACTACGTAAGTAGCAAAAAAAATTAAGAATGACACACGGGATGGTGCCAAATATTTAGCGTTTGAGTGCTAAAAAAAATTTCTTATTAAATTACCGCTAATTTTTTATTTAAATGAATCGTAAATATTCCGAGAATGTTGTGCACAAGTGTTGAAAACAAAGTAATTGTCCATCGTAATGATGCGATAATTTTTTATTTATTCTCGATGAAGCACGTGTCAAAACTTGATTTTGAAATATTTTTATTTTACTCAAGCAGACCAATTGTTAGCCCCCTTGAATTTGACGTCGAGTTTAAATTGATATTATTGTCGCGCTGCTTTTCTTTAGCAATAAAACAATTGTCAATTAGTTGCTAAAGTGAGACGATTGTGTTGACGTGCGTGGCTTAATTAACTTCAACACGTATAGTACGTTGCCATTTAGATGTATAAGAGACAATATTAACACCATGTTACGTAAACGTCTTAATTGATACACCAAAAATAAATTTTGCAATGTAATGTTTCAATCAGTTAGTTGGTTAAACATTTTTTATTTACTTGCACTCATGATTTATTATTTGTGATTACGAAAAGCATAAATTTGTGTGAAAACTGATAATATTTTGAAATAATACGTCACTGGAAGATAAACGAAATAATAGAAAATTTTTCAAAAATTTTCTTGTTCTTTTATTTTATACATTCAAACATTTTGCTTAATTTTTCACATAATAATGAAATCTAACTAACAAATACAAGGTTTTATTTATTTATTTTCGGGCATTAATTACTAATTAATATTTTTTCCTTCTTTAAATTATTATTACAATGGCAAAAAAAAAATGGCACTTATGAGTGCGTTGTGAACGGACCACAATTTTTAACAAGCCCGGCGTGGTGTCAAATGTCAGATTAATAACTTTTAATAGGATGGTTCGTTCACAATCAAACTTTCATGGATAAACTTAAAGCCAATTTTTTTCTAAGTATTTGTAGTTTTATAATATTTAGATATGTATTAAAATTTTCACACATTTTTTGGTAAAACTATCATATAAATGAAAAAAAAAAACTGAATAAATAAGCGAAACAGTTTTTACTTTTAACAACAAACAAAAAATAAAGAAGCAATTTTTGTATTCTCCAAATTTACATTTATTTACATTATTAATTTTTTATATCACCGGTATTTTTTTTGTTTTTATTTGTTTTTATTTTCGACATTCATGTAACACTGTATTTTTTGGGTGTTTTAAAACGCTATTAAATGAGTTATAATTATGTTTAGAAAGCGTTTGTCTCACTTTTTCAAGTTAAAGTTTAAACAAGGAAAAGAATACAAATAAAACACCTAACAAACTACATTTTTGGGTCTTTTGAAACTCTGAAAAATCAGTTTTAATAATGAAGAAATTCTCAAGTAATAACAGGGCTTGTAATAAAGTTAGTAAGAAACAAAAAAAAAATGAATAAACAGAAAATTGTTATTTAAAATGTTTAGATATAAAAAAAAAAGTAATAAAGAAAGGAAGTTTGAAAAACAGAAAAAGGACATTTTGAATTTTGAAAGACAACAAATAGGCTTCATTACGGTTTAAAATGTGTTCATAATAAAAAATTTCAAAAAAAGTAAAGTAAATAGAAAAAATGGAAACATTATTGGGCTATTTAGAAATCCTATAAAATAATATTTAGAATGTTTGTATTAAAAAAAATAAAAGTAAAAAAGAAAGAAAAAAATACAAAAAAAG